GCAAGCAACCTATGTAGAAAAGATTTCACAAATACTCTCTGAAAATATTTAGAGTTTTAATCTATAGCAGTTGGACTAGATGGTTGTTGTTGGCCCCTTCCAACTCAAGTGCCCTGTTCTATTCCATTCTATCTGTAGCAAGGCCATCATCAGCTGCAGGGTGAGCAAGGAATAGGACAGGACAAAGCTGGTAGCAGAGGCAGCCACAACTGCCTTGAGGATGAATATGGAGGAGTCTCCACAGAAGGCAGGGAAGAAATCATACATAACACAAACACATGCTATTAAAAAATTACATAGCTCTAGCACAGGGGTCATGGCTGAACTGGAAGGACATTTCCAAGGGACTCGATGCTTTGTAGTTATCTTCTGCTTCCTCAAATCTGTAGCCATATCTGAAAAAACCAAACAGGAACTTAAAATGCTTTTTAATTTTTCTTGTTTATTTTAAAATGAAACTAGAAAAACGCCTTTTAAATATGTTGCATTAAATTCAGTACATTACAAGTCTTAAGAACAGTGGCCCAACCTCCTTGCCAGAGAAGGTCCTTTGAAGAATTTGTTTTTATAATTACTCCTGCCAGCATGCCATATGGTAGAAGAATATAATGCTTTCAGAGTTGAGTAAATATTTCCTAGAGAGGCAAACTAAAGCATAGAGAGGTTCCCCTTGGACTCAACTAAAAAATCAGTTACAGAAGCAGAACTAGAGCACAAGAATTTCCAGCTCCCCTCTGTGGGAGGGGGAGTTTTTCATCACTAGAAACTATGGCGGAAAGAAGTTGGCAGTTCAGAGCAAGAAACAGCTTTCCAAGAATCATTCTTTCCTTATGCTACATAAATAGTGGCAGCAGCCCCCACCTTATTTCTTGTTACAGGACAGGAGAAAAAGTACTTTGCTTCAGACTGCAATTGAAACGAAGGTTTTGTTCTTGTCAGCCTCCTGTTATAATTTCTAACTGCACCAAACAGCTTCAGAAAATTTTGTGATTTATGTTTTTACGAAGAATCATTCCAGAAAACTCTCAAAGTTTACTATTTCTTGAACTTCTGAATTAGCCTCTTTAGTGATGCCAAGAATTTATTTCTACCTCTAAGCCAGAGTATTATTTTCCTTTCCCAAGCTTTCACAGCTGTAAAAGTGCCTAGTGATAGAAGAATGTTCAGAATGTCCAGGTATTTTTTTTTCAGGTTTGGAGTTTTCATCCTTTGAGTGGTTCTTCTGTACTCAGTGCTGAATATCTATACCTGTTGCTGATGCCTTATGTGGGGAAAACTGAGGTGTCAGACAAGCCAGAGAAATGCACACTGTGAGCCTGACTCTTACTCTGGAAAGGTTTAAGTTTAGAGATGGGCTCTTGAGGGGATGAGGATGCTCCCTTTGTGACCTTCAGTGACCATGGAGAGACACCTGAGCATCCATGCCACAGGCTTCAAAACTCACTGTGTATTTACAATGACTTTCCTGCCTTAAAGCTCTGGGCTCACGCAGGTTAAGGACAAACCTATCATGTATGTTCTGAATACTGCAGGAATCTCATGTAACAGGACTGAATCTGTTCAGAAAAGGAGACTTTTTGATTCTTTTTGAGTTCTGTCCATATTTTGCAAGTCTCCAGCCTCCCAGTCCAGTACTTTATTAAAGTATTTTATTAAATCTAATGATGCAGTCATGCCAAAATCCCAGTCACATATTGCAGCCGTTTACTGAATGCTTATAAGCATTAACCCAAATTCACCATACCCATACATACAAATGTTCAAAACCATGTAAAAACTGTGCCTGAGAACAGCTGTGAAATTGATGCTGCTAAAGAAAACTGAAAATGTGTTATTTTCTTGTACAGATGTTTTGGACAGTATTAGGTAAATGCTTTCTTATTAGGTAATACTGTCTTCTTAGGACAGTATTAGGTAAAAGCCTTCTTGCTTTTTATTTTGTTAAGTTTCTTAAATCAAGAACAGAATGCCAGATGTATTCACTGTGCAAGGCAATTTTTCTTAGATCTATAAAGAAGTTGGGGCAGCACACACTGTTTAATGATCTGATCACGGAGATGCAGGATTTGCTGACAAGGTTTCCTGGCTGTTAGGTCTGGTTCTGCTTGATTTCAGGACCATAAACCTCTGCCTTTTGATTATGTTTCCTAAAAACATCTTTCAGTAGAAAAAGGACAAAGCAGACCATCCACATAAGCAGAAGGGCGGCTCTGCTCATGGCAGAGCTGGAGTGCGCTAACTCTCCTCCCATTTCACTTGCATCACCTTCCCAAACATGTTGACTTCTACTTACTTCGAGGGCATTGATTAATTTTGCTTCTGTGAAGGAGCTGTTAATTGTTCTTGTACTTCATTCACAGCTGAGTTCACTTAGGCCCTGGAGGGGAGCAATTTTCTCAGCCTTCCTAGGCCCTGTGATAGTGCTAGGAATTAAACCCTCCAAGGGCCTGCTGCCCACTGTTTGCCTGTGCTGAAGTGGTTAAACACAAAAAACACTCAGCATTTTTTCAGAATAGTCCTCAGCACTATAAAGGATCAAGCCCAAGTAAGGCCAAGGAAAAGCAGTACATCAGTACAAGAAGGTCCCAGCTGGTGATGGATGCTTGCTCCCATAATATTCAGCTCCTGCTGCACACAAAGGAGATAATGACACAAGTAATAACTAATTACAATGAGAAGGAGGGAGAAATGGTGCAGTGAATATTAGCAGGGTTCATAAAGGCTAATGCTAATAAAATACAGTATGTGTACAAAATTATAGTTTAGTTCCTGGCTACCTGCTGTGCTCAAGCAAAGCAAAAGACAAAGTAATATCTTCAGGATGTATTTTACAAAGACAACTGTTTCCTATTTAAGATAAATTTACCACTGTTTATTTTATTTAATTAATATCTCATTTACTCTAGAATGTTAAAATTCTAATATGCATATGAATTGACCTTGCATCTTTGGACAAATTGCACTATAAATATTATATTATAACATCTCCCATCAAACAGAATTGAATCACAGAAATACTCTGTAATTTACACAACGAGCTTACTGGTAAGCAGGACAGATGGTGACAAGCACAAGCTATTAGGCTTAATAAGGGTTAAACACAAAATGGTAAGGCTAGAAGGGAGCACAGCGAGTCATCTGCTCCAACCCTCTGCTCAGGCAGGGTCATCCCAGAGCACGTGGCACAGGATTGAATCCTGCTGGTTCTTGAGTATCTCCAGTGATGGAGATCCCACAACCTCTCTGGGAGTCTTTCCCAGTGCCTGGTCACCCTCACAGTTATGAGAGGCTGGAATGATTGATGTCTGGAGAGGTTTTGGGGTGCGTGTGTGTGGGGGAAGGGGCAGGTGGAGCCTTGCCCTGGCGAGGCAGTGCCCTGCCCTACAGCCCCACCCCAGAGCCTGTATCACAGCCTGGCAGGAGCTCCAGTCCCTGGCACACCGGAGGCAAAGCTGCACCCCCTAACCCTGGAGCCCCGTCCCCACCTCCTGAGTGGCCAAATGACTGGGAGTCCCTCTGGGGAAAGGGCCAAGGGGTGTTTAAAGGGGAACATGAGGCAAGCATGTCTTGACTCTACAGCCTCTTGGAATTTCTATCAGCTGCACACCACTGGAATCCAAGAGTGGGAGTTTTGGGGCTCCTCTTCTATGTATCTATGTATTTTCTGTCTTTCTGTTTCTAATTCTTCTCCGAATTTTTGTGTAACTTAACATCAAGCAGAATTTCCTAAGTTAATGCTTTGTGAAGTGTTTTATATTGATTGAAGGTTGCACTAAATATTTTGCCAAAGTTCTCTGATTTTCTAAAGTTGCTAGCAAAATTTTTTAGTTGTTTTGACCTCTTGAGAATGTCTTGTCCATATTTGTCCTGTGCATTTAACTCAGAGTTTGCATGAACAACTGTAAGCCCTTCTAAAGCCATGTTGAGCAAGGGTTTTGGGGACCTTACAAGGTAAAGAAGTTTTTCCTCAAGTTCTGGTGGAACTTCCTGTGCATCAGTTTCTGCCCATTGGCTCTTGTCCTGTTGCTTGGCATCACTGAGAAGAGCCTTGAGACATTCCCTTCAGCTCCTTGTATACATTGATGAGATTCCCCTCTCAGTGATCTCTTCTGAAGGCTGAACAAGTTCAGCTCCCTCAGCCTGTCCTGGTAAGAGAGATGCTCCAGTTCCCTCATCGTCTCCAAAGCCCTTCACTGAGCCTGTTTCAGGAGCTCCGAGTCTCTCTTGTACTGAGGAGCCCAGAACTGGACACAGCACTCCAGATGTGCTTCACCAGGGCAGAGCAGAGGGGCAGGATCACCCCCCTCAACCTGCTCTGAATGTTCTTCTTAATGCACCCCAGGATTGGCCTTCTTGGCCGTGAGGCACCCTGCTGGCTCATGGACAGCTTGCTGGATATGGACAGGGGTGCCACCCCAGGGGAGACCCACAGAAGGAATGGTGCCTTTGAGGCACACTTCCTTTGCTCTGTACTAACCCACCTCCACCACAAGAAGCTGTGCTTCATTCCCCATCCCTGGGCAGTGTGCACATGCTGCTTTGCCAGCTCCTTCCTCCCTGGCAGCTGCTCCAGCTGCTCCCCACAGATTGAGCCATGCTCCCCTTCATGGGGCTACCAACAGGAACTTTCTGTGCGCCTCTCTTTCCCTTCTTGGTGCTTACAAGGCAAAGCTAGCATCTGTGGGGAGCAGTGGGTGCTACAGGAGGCTGGTATCTTTCTTATACATGCACTCACACCCACACACACATACACATGTGAACCACGGTCTCTACACAGCTAATGAGAAATCAAAGTGTGCAAAATATAAAAGGGAAAAAGATAGAAATCCTTTTAGAGTCACCTCCTTGATATTTATATCTGTGACATTGGAGACAAATATTTTGGTCTCGTGCAGTGGTTCACCCTCATGTCAGTCAGACCTGCAGATTTTGCAGTGTGAAGAAGTATCAGAGAGTCAGTTAAAAGCACATTATTGTCATTAGTGTGATCCTGTAAATAACAGTGTTTTTCTTTTCCTTTCCTTTTAGTTTGAGCCATTGCAGTGTCAGCAACAATCAGAAGAAAATGCAAAAATTCATCTCAATAGCTCAGAATGCATGGGAAATTTTTATATCTGAAAGGAAGCCTGGCTGGAAGTATCAGATGCAGCTATTTGCAGTTTGCTCTGCAGTTGGCTTCCTCTCCAGCTTTCTGCTCTTCCTTAGCATGCACTTCTCCTTGGCACACCATTCCTTGGGGCCCTTACTGATTTCTGGATTCATCTGGATTTTGTTTTCTATCATGCTCTTTTGTTTCAAGCACCTGCGTTGTTTCAGCGTTCTGTTCCTCCTTTCTTGTGGACTGAAAAATGGCAGGGATGCTCTTATTACTGCTGGCACAGGTGTTGTTGTGGCCAGCAACATTCAAAATATTTTTCACAATCTAAAGGTTCTGGCAGACAGTATAACCTGTCATTTAAAGCAGGAGCAATTTGCCTTGATAAAATATTATATTGAGGCAATAAAATGGATTTATGAGGTGGCCAACCTTCCTGCTGAGGAACTTAAAGATATAGTGATCCTAAAGCATGAATTCACACCATCTTATTCAATTTTAGATGATGCATTAAAACAAGAGCTAAATGACACAGAGCAAGAAATCCAGAGAATTGCTAACCAGATATCTTTTATGTTGACTATACTGCCCTATATAGGTCAGAAAATATTGCCTGTATTTGGAGTTTTTCTAGTTTCTTTTGGAACTGGACTCTTTATCAAAAAATTTGTGGGTTCTCATAGTATCAAATTTAAGAATGCTTATATCACAAAACAGTTCATTGCATTTGATGAGCAGCAAAAGCAACAGCAAAGACCCTGTCTTCTGCCACTTAACAGAAAAGAGAGGAAAGATTATGTGATGATCCCATCCTTCTTCTTCACAAGAAAGGACAGGAAAAAAATGCTGCGCTATTTTCTCCCTATAATTATTCATCTTTGCATCTGGCTTCTGTTTGCTGCAGTAGACTCTTTGTTTTATTTGTTAATTATTTCTGTGAACAAATATCTCCAAGAAGTACCGGATCTAGACATTCAACTCAGACTCTCTCAGAATGTAAGTACTTTTCAGTACCATATATTTCTTAGTTTATTGCTGAAAAATTTCTCTTCATCTTCAGCAGCTGCAAGAGCAAACATATAGCAATGAGCCATCAATTCTTTCCTGGAATATCATTCATTTCAAAAAGGGTCATTGCCTCAACATACATTGGTTGGATGGAACCAGACAGTTCTTTCCAGAGCATTGTCATATTTCTAGAGAATGGTAAATTTAAGAAGACGGATTTTCATTCCTCCATTTATATATATGAAGAAAACCAGAGGCTTGCAATTGGAAACTCACAGTACTGAAATTTGTGAAGCACTAGTTTTTATAGTCAGAAGTTACTCTGACACTGATGTAAGAGGTGTCTACCTTTCTTTAACTGAGTGTTGTGAGGATGCATCATTGCTTGTATGGATGGGCGCATAACCACAAAATAATGACTTGTTGCCAAAATCTCCAGGTTCCTCTTGCAGGAGCAGCAGCATAGAGAACCATGGATTAGCTAGGTTGGAAGATAAGTCTGGAGGCCATCAAGACCAACCTCATGCTCAAACCAAGGACAACTGGTTAGAGAATGGTACTAATAGCACCAAGTTTTAATGGTGTTGTTTGGTCAAAGATTGGACTTAATGATCTTGGAGGTCTTTTCCAACATTAATTGTTCTGTGAGCTTTCAGTGGTGCATCATTCAGGGAGAAGAGAAAATTAGGACTAAGTGAAGGAAATACATTTTTTTGTTTACTCTTCAGTTGATCAAACAACAGAACAAGTTTCTGAGATAGGTTGTGGGATGTCCATTCCTGAAGATAATAAGGAGCCAATTGATCACAACCTTAATCAACCTGTTGTTGTGCACTTTGCTGTGTACTCACTGTTTGCTGTGTAGTGTTGTGTGTGGTTTTGCCTGTGTTTCTATCCTTTGTACCTTGAAGGCAGCCTCTTATCATGACCTGCCTTGGGTGTGACCCGAGTCAGGGCAAAGTATCTTAGTCCCACTACTCATGGACAGAAGTCCTGAGCACCATGTCTGGCTGATTCATGGCTCCTGCGCTACAAATTTTCTCTCTCTGTGTGCATCATTCACTCATGTGGAAAGCTGCTTGACTCCTTCAAAACAAAAAAGAAATGCCATCATCAGATTGTTTCTAGTTCCCCAAGGAAAGCTAATTACATTAAAATGTAAAATTTAATCTCAACAGATTTGTTATATCATGCCTCAGGGCTGCTGATCCCAGGGAGTCCAGGAAGCTGGGTGAGCAGGACAGACTCAGACACTTGAGATGTTTATTAATTAGCATGAACAGTAAAGTTCTTCATGCACTAGTACTCCTGTTTCATACTGAGCTCCTAATGAAGATTTTTCTTGCCTATACATCAGTTCAATTTAGGGATAAAATGGCCTGAGATAGTTTGGAACAGGATAATGTCAAGGAAGGGCTAACAGACTGAAGATGGGTAATATGCTTTGGGAACTTCATTTGTCCAATGAACATCTAACACAAGTGCTTGGCCTCTGTAGGGTGATTAGAAAAGCCACAAGGAAGACCTTATTATTCCTTTGACATGATCAGAAAAGAGGCTGGGTTATTCAGTGACTCTACAGTGTTCTAATTCACAGAACAGAAAGTTGTCTGAGAGTATGGTCCCAGCAGCATGTCTAATTTACCCTTCTTATTGAGCATTTCAGTCCACAAGCAGTGAAAGACATCAGCTAAGCAGAGGCAGCTGCAAGAGGAGGTCAGGCAGCCTCATTTGTGTGACAGCCTTTGGTCAGAGCACTGCCTGGGCAAGTGTGCAGCTGCAGAGAGGGGACAGAGCTTAGTGCCATGTGGGCATGGCTGGGTTGCGGTTCTAGGCCACCTACATCATCACTGCAGGTGTGGTTTCAGGGGGAAGAAAAGGTGAGCATCCCGGATCATGCAATGTTTTTGCCTCCCTCTCTCCATTGGGAAGGTTTTCAGGATCAGAGCCCTGCCCCTCTGCTGCCCATTGCCCTCCTGTTCATCCAAGACTTGACTCAGGCACACAGTGCTGAAAGCAGCGATGATGTGGGCGGCTGCTGTGGGGAACAGAGCAGCAGAAGTGAGCCTGAGCCCAGCCAAGTCTGAGCTGAGCTGAAAGGAGCTGAAAGGAGCTGAGAGGAGCTGAAAGGAGCTGAAAGGAGCTGAAAGGACCTGGGAGGAGCTGACTGGAGCTGGGAGGAGCAGTCAGTAGCACCAGTACTGGAAACTGCTGCACAGAGTTGAGTCCAGTGTCCGAAGCAGTGGCGCAGTGTGACGAGGACAATCATACTTTCATACTTTCAGGGGTTTGTCTGTCATTGTTTTCTGCTGTCTCAAGCTCAGGCACAGAGAGAGTGCTGTGGTGAGTGACTGCCACCTTGTCTTTGTTGGGGGACAGCCACGTGGTGCCGGGCATAGGAAGAGCCACCATCCTGGCTTTGTCCCAGGGCCAGGTGGAAATAAGTTGAGATGGTGAATACCTTTTGTAGGTAAACCACCTTCTCTTTTTATGTACTTTCATTAATAATATTGCTGCTGTTACTGTGCATGTCTTATTCCATTGCTTGCTGCTTTCAGTAACTTGCTATCTCCACCCATAGTCTCTGCCTTTGTCCCTCTCTTACTGGAAGGGGAGAGGCTTATTTGGAGCTTGATTTCTGGCTCGTGTGGAGCCACCATGGTGTGGAAGCACTGCTGATCATGTGCTGAGACAAAACCAAAGGGACAGACACTCTGCTCTGAAGTTTTATTCTCAACGAAGGACCCTCCAACAGGGCATCTGAGCAGAGTCATAGGAGTGGAAAAATAATAAACTATTATATCCACATTAGCTAAATATTTCCCTGTCAGAGCCACTGAGAAGGCTCTGAAGGTTTTTAACAGTCCAAAGTGCTGGACATTGTCCACCAAGAGAAATTGTGAAAATAGAGTCCAAAACATTTATAAATAGCCAATATATATATTGTTTTGAGCATACTGTATACAGACACTGGATGGTCTAGATGATTTAGAGTCCTTTGTAAATCTGAATGTACAGTGCAAGAAATATTAAGAAAGGAGGGAATCTGTCTTATAATCAACACCTTTTTTCCACTTTTCTTGTGCAGAAGAATGAGAAAAGCTATATAATTTCTATGAAAGAGCATATTGCCAAGACTGATTCTTTCAAGATCCCTTTGATTAAGCAAAACTGCATCCCTCATCCCGAGCTTGCTCTCTCCACAACATGGATTCAGCTTGGAGTCATCATCTTCTTCTTAGTAATTTTTGGGTTATTCTCTGGTCTCCTGACCCAACTTAAAATACTCGTGTCAACTTCCTTTTATCCTGATACTGAGATGAAACGGATATATTATTTACATGCAAAATTACTCAAAAAAAGAAAAAAGCTACAAGAGAAAACTGAGAAGAACATGTTTGCAAGAACGGTAAGCCATGAGCTCTGGGGGAAAAAAAATAAACCTTCCAACTGGGTGGTAGCCAGATCCAGGAAATACTTGAACACTTGTTAACTTCAATTATGTGCTAATAGACTTTCCCCAATGCTCAGGAGCCAGACACATGTTGCCTAATGGTAAGATTAGATCATCTAATAGTTTTATTCTGTACTTCAGCACACATGCCTCAGACATGACATTGGTATGCTCAAATGACTATGTGCTGGCAAGAAAATACTTCTCAGATTTAGAGTCTTCCAGAGAAGAAACTTTGTTTTCATGAACATATGAAAAGCACTTAGAGTATTCCTGAATCTAGATAGCAAGTGCCAGGAAGTAAGAGTAGCCCTAAATGTAGAGAGAGATATTCTGATATTGCTTAGCAATATGGAATGTGGTATATTTCTATTTCAAAACACAGTATGACTGCATATACTATTAGGAAACAGAACTTTTGCCTGTAAAAACATTTATCCTGTATGTATATATATATATATATATATATACACACATGCACACACACAGACACACTAATGGAAATAACTAGCACACATGCATATACACATGGCATATCCAGATAGAAAGCTGCAGACATATAGTTTGTTTAAGTTCTTTTTTTTAACAGCCTTCAATACTGAATATACAGGGTATCAATGTCTGGGTGATCTTAACTCAGTAATACTATTCTACAGATCATATTTCTGTCTTTTCAGGTCAACTTTTGGTTTCCAATACTCAAGGCAAGAGAGGCAGTGAGGAAGAAAGAAAGGAGTGTAGCAGAATGACAGGATGATATTAAAGAGACCACGTGAATCTTTGTATATGGCTGAGATGCTTTAGCTCCACCTGTGTTTTGCTTTATTTTTCCTATAGAATGTCAATTGAAAAATGTAAAAATTTCACACTCAAAGGCTGTGTAGCAGTATTTTGGAAAAAATGCCAAATAGTGGCAGATAGTGTGCAGTTCACCACAGATTGCTCTGGACTGCATTAACAGTTATTTTTCAGCTTGGGGTTTGCATTATCTGGTATTGAGAAAATCATGGATGATTTGTAATTCTGTCTAAAGCAATAAAATAGTTTGGACCTTTTAGATCTACACCAGAAACCTCTTTGGACTGAGCTAACAGAGGATGTAGTGACAGCAGCAGGTTTGTCTTCTTCAGGTTTGCCAGACACTGAAGATAGAAGACACAGGAGAGGCTGTGCATCCATTGCCTTCTGGAATGGCCAAGAACTGGGACTTAGATGTTTCTAGACATTTTTATCCATTTCTCAAGCCTCAAGCCCTTCAGCCTGGATCTTTGCCATCCCGAGTTTCTAGTCTCCTATCTAGTCTCCCACCCAGAATTCCTTACTTGGTCTTAGTCCCCAATTCCACATATCTATAGACTGTATCATTAGTGCAGATCGTTCAATGCCTTTGGTAATCATGAGAGGTGATTAACAAATGTGCTGATTTGACCAGGAAGAAGTGGGAATTCTGGGATGCTGTGGTCAAACCAATGGGTGCTCAGATTTTGATACTGGCACCTGGTGTGTCCAGTGCAGTTCGGACACACCTCTGAGAACACAGAGGGGTTAAAAACCAGAGCTTCAGCCCTGGGAGGCTCTCTTAGGACTTCGAAGCAAAGAGGTCGGATCTCCCTCCCCTGTCCAGCCGCTGCTGCTGGGCGGGGGAAGGGCAGCCATGCGGTAGGCCCGGGCCTGGACAGAGATGGGGGGTGAGGAGGCCCTTGAGGATGGAAGGGTGGAGGAGCCCCAGGAGGCATCGGGCAGCCACTCTCCCCCAACCCCCGGAGAGAGAGAGGGAGAGCCAGTGACGGAATGTGATAGCGGCCAGCCGAGGAGGAGAAGGGGGGAGTGCAGTGAGAAGGTGCCCGGCAGGGCAGCATGGGAGTTCCGGAGCTCTGGGACAGGCAGAGACTGGAATTTTTAACCCTTTCTTACATGATTGACACCTTGCAAAATGCTGATCCTCCTGGAGCTGGATAAGAAGAGAGATAAGGGATGAGATAACAAGGACTAGGCGTGAGGGAAGTGGAGAAGACTCTTGACTGGGGGGGAGAGATGATGGAGTGGCCTTTTGGCTGGACTTTTCTTGTGTGGCCGTAGACTGAACCATTTTTTTCCTGTGACACAGAGACTGCATTTAGGGGGAGGCAGTGCCTCAAAACCGGGAGGGTTCAGTGTGGGTACCCCTCGGCCCCAGGGGGTGAAAAAAATGGGGGGAACAGATGTCCCAAAGCAGAGACTGTGCCTTTTTTGGAGTGAGACAAGGCATCCTTGAAAGACAACCCTAAAAGCAGCTCTGGTCCATGCACAGTGGTGGGAGCACTGGGCATGGAAGGAAGATGTCACAAGCGGCAAAAGGACTTTCCAGGCGGTGCTGAGTGACATGGAAGCACACGAGGCTTCAATGTGTTTCCAGAGGAAGCCTATGGTGTGAGAAAGACTCCTCTCCTCTTCATGAACTGAGGATTGAGTATTCTAAAGGGTGGTGCCAGACTGAGAGTTGGTGATTTGGGGGAATGCATTGCATTGGGAAATTTTGGTGGGGGGGGGGAGGAAGGTGCTTCTGTAAGGTTTTCATTTTTTTTTCTTTTCCCTTACAGTTTTTTCTTCTTTTCTTGTAGTTTAGTTAATAAAGTTTTCTTTATTTCTAAGCTGGAGCCTGCTTTGCTTATTCCTGGTCACATCTCACAGCAGACACCAGGGAGAGGGTATTCTCATGGGGGCACTGGCTCTGTGCCAGGCCTAAACCATGACACCAAAGGTCAGGTAACAGGTGGAAGTGAGAATGGTCACAGGAGCTAGGATGGAGAAGAATCAGGTTCTGTGGGGGCAAACAAGGTATCGTGAAAGGATGAGGCATGTTAGTAGAGGTGAACAACGTTTCAGATCTTGCAGACTGAGAAAATTTGCAGAAGGGACAATAATGGGCCTAATCATGTTGCATAAGCACCAATTACTTCAATTCAATTAAATGGAGCCAATACTGAAGTGCTTCACCTATTCAACCAACATTGCTGATGTGACCTTCATATGATACAAGAGCAAATGCAAAACACCTAAAGACGTAGGAATGACTTATGTAGCTTTAGAGATTTAATGTAGAGCTAAAAAAATGTACCCAACAGGCAGTGTATTTCTGATTTGCACCCACAGCCAACTTCCCTTTTTAGTCTGATTAATAGGAAATTCTGCTCTCTTCCTCTATAATACATGCATGGTTTCAGAACAGCCATTGATCAATGTCTCTGTTATCTGAATGAATTAAGACTTAAAACTCTCCAGTAGCAAGTGTCAGAAGTTTTTTGCACTTAAGCCACTGAAAAATACAAAGACTGCTTTTCTTTGGGCCTTGCAAAGTCTCATGCATGCAGGTGGTTCAGGTTGGTGGTGTAACAACAATTTGTCTCTGGAAACAGTGCTGGACTAAAGCCATTCATTATTGAGGGTTGTGCTGAATGTCTCTGAGAGGCCTGACTATGTCCTTTTTGCTAAAGTGGGACAGCCCTGAATAGTAGCAGAATGTCAGCTTGTATTTTAGGTGCTACCGTCAAGCACCAGTAGCAAGAAGCATTCTGGTGAGAGAAGCATTTAGAAGGTTGCTCTAAATTTGGACCCAAAACAGAATAGCTATCCAGGTACTATTGATAAGAGGATTGCACTCTTGTTATCATTGCAGATGAAAGGGGAAGAGTTGCAGGTCAATAAGGGCTAAATATTTTTGGCTGAGTTCTGACTAGTTGCAGGCAGGAGTTGGATGTGCTCCTTTCAATCCCAAAGGACAAGCTGGTGAGAAGCCCCAATATAGGGGCAAATCTGATTGACAGCACTATCACAGAACACCATGCACTTATCATCAGGAGGAAAACTTTGGTTTGGAGTTTCTTGCATGTCCTGTTTGATGGTGCTGCCACTCAGAATACCTTTTCACTCTGTTGTTCTATGAGGAGCACATAAAAGCTTTGCAGCCCATGGGAATGGTTCACCAAAATTACTCAGATGCTGGTGTATCTTTGGGAGAGATGCCTAAATCTATTAGGATTTTGAGTTCCATAGTACACTCTCAGGACAGTGCCATTTCTGCATTTATCAGTTACTTAAGGAAATTCAGCCAATGTTGAATGTGGATGCTCACCCCACTACCTGTCAGGACAATTAAACATTGCTTAGTTTGCACTTCAAACTGATTAAAAACCAATCCTTCTGGGGCAACTAACTGTAATTTTGTAAAGCACGTTCAGTTCTGGTAAATATTTTACCTAGATGCTTGACCTCACTACCAGTGACAGAAGACATGGGAAAGCCCAAGGTAGTTCTTTGTCTTGGTCTTTGCAGGTAAGACTGGTCTTTAGCCATAGACCTCTCACACCTGAAGGAAAGGCTGGAGCAAGGAAGACTTACCCCTTGTAGTTAAAGATGATTCAAACACACAGGAGCACTCAAACACTATGAGACATGAGGAGAGGTATCCATGGCTATTGAGGGTGCTGGTTGATGTCACTGAAAGGTATCTTGATTTTTTTGTAAAACATCTTGGTGATCAGGAGGCATTACGGACAACTGGAAGGAAGGACATGTCACTCCCATTTTCAAGCAGGGCAAGAAGGAAAATCTGAGAAACTACAGATTTATCAGACTCATCTCAATCTGTGGGAAGGTGATAGAAAATTTTCCCCTGGTAGCTGCTTCCAAACATAAAGGCCAGGAAGCTGACTGGTATAACACTGAAACACAAGAAAACTTTTTTAGTGTGAGGGTGGTTAAACATTGGAATGGGAGGCCCAGAGAGGTTATGGAATCCTCAGCCTTGGGGATACTTAAAAGCCACTAGACATAGCTCTGAGCACCTCAGAGCAGCAAAGCTGGAGCAGATATCTCTAGAGCTGCCCAACAGACTCAGCCATGTTGTGAGTATTGATTTTAACACAGCACATTTCAGGAAAAATACTAGATATGCACAGCAAAATCTTGTTTTAATTTGTGAATATGCTGTGCTAGTATCAAGTGTGCCACCTGACAAATATTGTTACAATTACACTCAGAAAAGAGTCACATATTTGAGTGGACTAATGCACAGTTTGTTTGTGATCATACACATGCATACCTGTATGCTTAACATGACCCAAATGGCAGGTAAAAAAGAGGTAAGTTTGCTCTCCCCCCATCTCCCTAAACCTGGTTTATCAGGGAAAATGGCACATTCTGCACCTTTTTTTAAAATAATTTTTTAATAAACCAAATCTTCCTTCTATGCCTCAGAGGTATGGAGTTTTATCTCAGCAACAGGACAGTTCTTACCCTGACCTACAGTACTAGACCTATTCCTTCAGTTGCCCAGTGTCTTTCTGTAGCTGTACAGATGAAAAGGCAGGTCTGTCACTCCCCTGAAATTACACAGAGACACACTTCTCTTTCTCTCTAGACGTTATTTTCTTTTTAGTTTCTTCTATTACTTTATGTCATATGAGTAGGGGAAGTCTAGGGTTTGTTTATCTTCAGCTGTCTCCTCTGCAAGTTGTTCAGCTATTTCCTTGGCTTCTCTGCTAACCATCACGCTCAACCACAGGATTCAGTTGTTCCTATTTCTTAAAAAACAAAGTCGATGAATTACAATATAACAACAGTGTTCTACCCACAATTATTTCTGTTCCTCTTCTTGCCTTCATAGTCTTCTTTCCTCTTTTAGTATGTTTTCTTCACCTCCAACAGATCATTCTTTCTCATACATAAGAGCATACAATGCTTCTCTTTCTGCTGAGCACAAGGGAACTATAGGTGCAGTTGAAAGGAAGGAGTTTTATTCATTTGTTGGTGTAATATAATTTTTTTATGTCTATTAATATCACGCT